CCAACTTTTCTTTCAGGTAATTGTCAACAACACAGCAGTAAATATCACCATGAAATAGATTATTATTGTAAATCAACCTGAGAGAAATAAGTGTAAAATATTTAACTGTAGCAGTGTTGGACTATATTCTGCACAGTGAGAAAACCTTAAATTATTTTTAAGGTTCACCATTTCTCACTTCTTTTTGGTTGGATCAATTGTCTAAACTTTCTAAATCTCTGTTTTCTGGCTAATGTAAAGAAAATAGTATTCTACCGATTCTCCTATCTATCAATACCTACACCCAGAAATTAATGGCATTTTTATACACCAATAATGAACTCTCAGAAACTAAAAAAACAATTCCATTTACCATTTCAACAAAAATAATAAGATACTTAGGAATAAATGTTACAAGGAGGTAAAAGACCTGTACTTGAAAAACTACAAAATGTTGATAAAAGAGATAGAAGTATATATAAACAAGGGGAAGAATATAACATAGTCATGGATTGGTAGAATTAACATAATTAAAATGTCCATACTACCCAAAGCAATCTATAGATTAAATAAAATCTCTATTAAAACACCAATGGCATATTTCATAGATCTATAACAAATATTCCAAAAATTTATATGAAATAAAAAAAGAACCCGAATAGCTGCAGCAATTTTGAGAAAGAATAACAAAGTTAGAGGGATCATAGTACAGGTTTCATCAAACTATACCACAAAGCTACTGTAATCTAAATAGCCTGGTACTGGCACAAGAACAGGCATATAAGTCAACAGAACAGATCAGAAAAATCCAGAAATCAATTCAAGCCATTACACCTAATTAATATTTGACAAAAGAGCCAAAACCGGTTGGCTCAGTGAATAGAGCGTCCGTCTGCGGACTGAAGGGTCCCAGGTTCAATTCCAGGCAAGGGCATGTATATTGGTTGCGGGCACATCCCCAATAGGGGATGTGCAGGAGGCAGCTGGTCGATGTTTCTCTCTCATCAACGTTTCTAGCTCTCTATCCCTCTTCCTTCCTCTCTGCGGAAAATCAATAAAATATATTTAAAAAATATATATATATATTTGCCAAAGGAGGCAAGAGCATACAATGGAGTAAAGACAGTCTCTTTTTGCATTGGACAGGTAAATGCCAAAAAAATGAAACAAGATCATTAACTTACAACATACACAAGAACTCAAAATAGCTAACAGACTTAAATCTAAGTTGTAAAACCACAGGCAGCACAATATCAGACATCTCACATAGCATTTTCTATGGAGAGGGCAAAAGAAAGGGAAAAAAAAATAGGACTACCTCAACCTAAAAAGCTTCCGTAACCAGCATCAAAATTAAAAGGGAATCCACTGTATGGGAGAGCATATTTGCCAATGAAACACCTGATAAGGAGTTAATTTCCAAAATTCATAAAGTATTCATACAACTCAACAAAAGACAAATAATTCAATTAAAAAATGAACAAGGGACCTAAATAGACATTTCTCTATACAAATGGCTAAGAGACATGACAATGTTACTAATCATCAAAGATGCAAATTAGTAAGATGACAATGAGGTACCACTTCACACATGCCAGAATGGTTATTATCAATAAACAACAGCCCTAACCAGTTTGGCTCAGTGGATAGAGCGCTGGCCTGTGGACTGGAAGGTCCCAAGTTTGAGTCCGGTCAAGGGCAAGTACCTTGGTTGCGGGCACATCCCCAGTGGAAGATGTGAAGGAGGCAGCTGATCAATGTTTCTAACTCTATCCCTCTCCCTTCCTCTCTGTAAAAAATCAATAAAATATATTAAAAAATAAAATAAAATAAATAAATGAACAAGTGCTGGTGAGGATGTGGAGAAAAAGGAACCCTACTACACTGTTAGTGGGAATACAGACTGGTACAACCACTATGGAAAACAGTGTAGAGTTTCTTTAAAAAACAATTAAAAATGGAACTGCCATTTGACCCAGTAATCCCACTTCTAGGAATAGATTCGAAGAATCCGAAGCATCAGTCAGAAAGAATACATGAACCTCTATGTTCATAGCAGTGCTATATCCAACTAGAGGCACGGTGCACTAATTCATGCATCAGTGGGGTCCCTTGACCTGGCCTGCAGGATCGGGCAGAAACTGGCTCTCTGACATCCCCCACGGAGTCCTAGATTGCGAGAGGGCTCAGGCCAGCAAAGGGACCCCACCGGTGGGTGATAGGGGCCGGGGAGGGATGTAGGAGGGCTCCAGGGTGTGTCTGGCCCACCTCGCTCAGTCCCCAATTGGCTGGACCCCAGCAGCAAGGTAACCTACCAGTTGGAGCATCTGCCCCTTTGTGGTCAGTGCATATCACAGCAATTGATTGAGCAGCCTTAGCATATCATTAGCATATTACATTTTAATTGAAAAGACCAGGCACTTAGCATATTAGGCTTCTGTTATATAGGATAGCTAAGATCTGGAAAAAACCCAAGTGTCCATCAGTAACTGAGTGGATAAAGAATTTGTGATACATTTACACAATGGAATACTATGCAGTTATAAAAAAGAAGAACCTCTTACCCTTTGAAACAATATGGAGGGACCTGGAGAGTATTATGCTAAGAGAAATAAGCCAATCAGAGAAAGACAAATATCACATGATTTCACTTACATGTGGAATCTAACGAACAACATAAACTAACCAACAAAATAAACTCAAGAGATAGAAGCATCAACAGACTGATAATTCTCAGAGGGGAGCCTGTGAAGAAATTAACCAAAGAATTTATATGCATATATACAAAAACCATGGACACAGACAATAGTATGGTAAAGGCCTGGTGAGGGTGCTGGAGTGGGGAGGTAGGGGTTTAAAGGGGTAAAGAGGAAGACACTAGTAATCCTTTTAACAATAAAGATACATACAGATACAGAAAATGCAGGGAACAGAATTAAAAAAAAATATATATATATATATATTTTATTGATTTTTTTTTACAGAGAGGAAGAGAGAGGGATAGAAACAGAGAGAGTTAGAGACATCAATGACAGAGAATCATCGATCAGCTGCCTCTTCCACACCCCCACTGGGGATGTGCCCACAACCAAGGTACATGCCCTTGACCGGAATCGAACCTGGGACCTTTCAGTCCACAGGCCGACGACCTATCCACTGAGCCAAACCGGTTTTGGCAGGAACAAAATTTTTAATTTATTTGCTTATATTCTTAGTTTTCAATCTTAACTTTTATTTATTGAAAGAAAAACTGCAATTTGGCAACAATGTTGTTTTAATTTGTAAGGAGTGATATAAAACTGACCAAATATTTGGTAGTTTAGAAAATAAAATAATTGGATAAAATATCAAAAAGATATATGAAAAAACATTTTTGGGGAAAATGGTGTAAAAAAACCCCCAAAAGAATATTAAATGAAGTAAGACCCACATTTAGTGTGCATTCTGAACAAGAGGAGCTAGCAAAATACGTACTAGGGGGGAAAAAGTATCCTAAAGATATAGATCACATAGAGGGGCAAAAATGACACTCACTGGCTAGTATCCATATTATGTACAGACCAACTGTTCCTTCTTAGTCATTCCTCTCACTACCCATAGAAGTAGAATGAACCAATTGATACTGAAGTCTACATAACTAACTTTCTAGCTCAGGATTCTTTATATTTCAACTAGAGGCCTGGTGCACAAATTTGTGCATGGATGGGGTCCCTCTGCCTGGCTGGAGATCAGGGCTAATGGAGGAAGGGGGGCCGGCTGGCCAGGAGGGAGGAACCATGGGAGTTTGGCTGTGGGTGTGCACTGACCACTGGGTGGGTGGAGGGGGAAGGGGCAGTTCCTGGGTTAAACGTCTTCTCCTGATGGTCAGCGTGCATCATAGCAACCAGTTGACCAGTTGCTTAGGCTTTTATATAAATAGAATATATAGATATGAGAAAGGCAGTATACACAAAGAAAGGCAGCCGAAACCGGTTTGGCTCAGCGGTAGAGCGTCGGTCTGCGGACTGAAAGGTCCCGGGTTCGATTCCGGTCAGGGGCATGTACATTGGTTTCGAGCACATCCCCGGTAGGGGGTGTGCAAGAGGCAGCTGGTCGATGTTTCTCTCTCATTGACGTTTCTAGCTCTCTATCTCTCTCCCTTCCTCTCTGTAAAAAATCAATAAAACATATTAAAAAAAAAAAAAAAGGGCAGATGTATATTTTCACATCACCTGTTCTCTCTGCTTTCTCATCTATTCTTTTTGCTTCTCTGTTCAAACCTCTTACCATAGTTCACATGATACTACAGAACCATACATAGTCTGTCTCCTTAAAAAAAGATCATCGCTTGCAATTAAAAATATTAAGAGAAGCTGAACATATAGGGAAAGAGAATGATATATAAAATGTCTTTACGTTTTTAAGTAGCTTATGAATAGGCAGTTTTAGATTCTCCAATCCGAGACACTCTCATTCTGAAAAAATCTGATAGGCCTTTACTAACATAGTTGTTACAACCTTTCAATTAGTTCACTGCATGTCACTCTGAAATTAACTCATAAAGAAAATCAGCTGAGCTTTCCCCAACTATAAAATTCTAAGAATCCAGATAAAATCATAAAACAAGTCAGCTTTTTTCATTGATAGTATGTGAACAATCACGTTTAGATTCTAAACATTAAACTACACTCACAACCTCTTCAATGTTTACCCAGAATTTATCATGAAAAATTACTTTCATTAAAATTTCTGAACTGATAAAAATCATAGGACCTCCTCTTAATAATCCAAGGCTATTTTCTAAAAAGGTTATTTTCACTTTGGCTTAATTGGGCTGAAAAGGGGGAAAAGCCTAAAATAATATCCTGAAATATCCTAATATATAAAGACAGATATGTGGTCAGAAATATATAATAAAAGAAAGTAATTTTATTTTAGTTTGCCTTCAGAGAAGAGACCAATGCTATTTATACAAATCTGGTTCCTTTTTTGGGATAAAGTTAATTTATGATTTATTTTTCAATAGGTTTTAAAAAGGATACGTGTTCCGTTAACTCCTGATATTTTAAAGTCATCTAGCAGTTGAACAACCATTTCTTTATTTGGATCATTAGGGTCTGAATTTCGCACCTATAATGGGGAAGACAGTATTTAGTAAAACAGGAAAGCACTGAAATAAGCCAAATGGCTACCTGCAGTAAATATAACAAAAGATTAAGCACTCCAAGAAACAGCAAATTTATGAGAAAAACATTAAAATTTTAATAGCTAAAATAATGAACTTAATTCACAAAAGGAAATGCATCCAAAAAAAAGTTATTACACTAAATCAACCATTTTTCTACTCAAAGTACAATTCCTAAATTAACTGTTGGTAACCAGGCTACGAGCAATTAAGCTTTGGCAGGATGCAAATCTACCACAGCACAAACCACATAGTTTATTCAAGCTGATATTTTTGTTCAAAGAAAAACTTTCTGAATGAAGAAAGCAATACAATAAGTTACTTTTGGGCACAAACCTTCTTTTGTCTCAGATTGATTCTTTGAAAAGTACTTCCTGGTCTAACATCGTCATCTTAGAAATGAAACATTTAAAGGTCAGAATAAGAAAATGATGAGTTGGGAGGATATATTGGGATACAGCTGATCCTAAGACCTAGGTTTTCTAACTCTGACTTTAAGCTCCTTCTACTACATTGAAATTTTCTAATAAAACTGAAAGCAAATTTTTGCTAATTGTACTTTAAGTTTCCAAGAGTAAAGGAATTAATACAATGTTTATTTTTATAGTATCTAAAAACCTAAAAATAGGTATTTAATTATTAGCAGAACTTTCCTTTTAACCATAGTAGGAAAGAAAAACATTCTTTGTGCTGACACATAAAACATGTTTAATAAACATTTTTATTTGAAAGATTTTTTCGATGTGAATGAGGGCATGAGAGCATATTGCATCAGTTCCCTACGACATGCACAGAATGTATAAATATTGTTGTCTTCCTCTACTTCTTTAAAGATACTGAAACTTTATAGTAAATATTAGCCATGCTAAAGAATTTACACTTTGTATGTCTTAATTCAATAAAACTTTATTTAATACTTCGCAGTTCACATATGCTCTAATAATACTCACTGATTTCAGCAACCGGATTTCATCTAGTGCTGTTTCAGTATAATGTTCAGCACTTTTAACTACTTTCATGGCTACAAACTTCTTTCCCCTGAGAAACAAACAGACAGTTAGGACTAAATGTCCTCCCTTACTTTAGGAAGCTAAGATTTCTATATAATGGGAGGCAGTGACAAAAATACAAATATTGACTTCATTGTTTCCTTGTACTCAAATTAACTGGCCAGATTTAATTTACAGAAAGAAAATCTGTTCTTGGGTAATAGCAGTAACTCAACATTTTTTCTAAGTTAAAATTTTATCTTCTTAATGTCTTCCTGAAACCGAGGAAAACCATAAAACAAGAGGATGGATAAGGGGAGGAAAAAAGGTACATAGATAGCAATTATTGTTCTCATTAGAGATTAGGTGGTATACTTTTAGGTAAACACCCCATGATAATTGATTTTTATGTAGAGAATAGTTTTAGACTGTATGACTGAGCAAATCTGTTACCAAAAGAAAATATAGGAAAATGTCACAGGTTTGTTTAGGGCAGGGGTAAAAAATGTCCAACCTGTGGGCCATTATTTGGTGTGTCCCAGCCAAAGCATTAGGTGATTTAATGAAATGTCTGACAAAAATAGCAGGCTAATTTTTAAGGTGATAATTTTGTATGGCTTGAGAATGATGTGATAAATATACAAATGGCTCTCGGCAGAAAAAAAGGGCATCGATTTTCAACTGGTATGCTGCAAGAACTTTTAAAACATGCAATACTTAACTACTTAGTTAGGGGCACTGACCTCTTTCCTCTTAAGACTATAACATTAAAAAATGGACAATAGCTGTCCAATGTAAATGCCCTGTCTTGAACCATAAGTCATATAACAGAGTTGCATCTTATTGGTCATGTCACATAATAAGGTTGCATCTGATTGGTTACTTCTTGGTACCAGAAATTTTTATATATAAGTACTAGAGGCCCGGTGCATGAAATTTGTGCATGGGTGAGTGTTGTGTGTCCCTCAGCCCAGCCTACACTCTCTCCAATCTGGGATCCCTCTCACAATCCAGGACTACTGGTTCTTAACTGCTTCTGCCTGCCAGTCTGACCATCCCTAACCACTCCCTTGCCAGCCTGATCGACGCCTAACTGCTACCCTACTGGCCCGATTGCCCCCAACTGCCCTCCCCTGCTGGCCAGGTCACCCCTAACAGCCCTCACTTGCCAGCCTGGTTACCCCTAACTGCCTTCTCCTGTCAGCCTGATTGCCCCCAAAACTGTCCTTCCCTGCAGGCCTGGTCACCCCCAATTGCCCTCCCCTGCTGGCCTGGTCACCCCTAACTTCCCTCCCTTGCCAGCCTGGTCCCAACTGCCTTCCCCTGCAGGCCTGGTTTCCCCCAAAACTGTCCCTCCCTGAAGGCCTGGCCATCCTCAACTACCCTCCTCTGCTGCCCTGGTCACCCCTAACTGCCCTTCCCTAAGGACTGATCACTCCCCACTGCCCCCCACCCCCGCTTGCTGGCCATCTTCTGGTGACCATCTTGTGTGTTGGAGTGATGGTCAATTTGCATATTATCTCTTTATTATATAGGCTAGGCACCTGGTTTTTATTTTTTTTATTAACACATTTTATGATTTTATTTTTTTGTTAATCCTCACCTGAGGATATTTTTTCCATTAATTTTTAAGAGAGTGGAAAGGAGTGGGAGAGAGGAGATACATGAATGTATCTCATCCATGTGAGAGTGATACATCAACCAGTTGCCTCCCACAAGTGCCCTGACCAGGGTTGGGGATCAAGTTTGCAACTAAGATATGTGCCCTTAATTGGAACTGAACCTGGGAGCCTTCAGTCCATGGGCCGACACTATCCACTGAGCAAAATTGACCAGGACTAGGCACCTGATTTTTAAAAAGTTATTTTGGAGCAAAAGGATAGGTAATTACTACTATTATATATGTCTTTTTGTAAATCAATTTAACTTAATCTGGTGAGAAAAACTACAAATTTACATACCTTACTTTTAGTAATAGTTGCAATTCTTTGAATTTGGGAGTTCTAAGTGTCTTTTGACACTAATTTAAATAATCTTTTGTCTCTAAGGCCTTTTCACCAGAGGAAAGTCATTTGCCCAAGAACACAAAGATTATCAACAACAAAATTCTGATCAAGAAATCAGAGTACACTGAAGTTGGATCAGCTCTGGAAAATCAGAAACATTTAGCTATCACCTTACTAATTCTGTTGCAGGACCACCAAGACTTACTGAATATCCCATGATAACCACACTGTTGAAAAGTGTCCCCAGCCCAATTTTCGGATCACATGATATCTCCCATTGAATAGATCGCCGATTTTCACAAGATGGTAACCTCCTGGAAGAAATAACAGGAGGGAAACATGCACTTAAGAAGTATGAAAAGGTATCTTATATATCCCATTTTCAACATCTATATACCTTTTATCAAATAAAAATGGTTTCTTCAATGCTGTCAATTCAACAAGAAAAATTTAAGTCAATTCAGCCATACAGTATCATTGAGCTCACGTTACAAAAAAAAAAAAAAAAAAATCTTGAGAATAAAATTAATGATTTAGAGGGAGCAAGTGATGCTTTGTAGATCATTTTCTATTTAAAATAAGTCATTCTCAAACAAAAATTAGGTTATGTATCAAAATAGATTTATCTAAACATCTAAATCTATAGTTGCAGTTTCAGGATTTTTATTGTATTTATTTATTTTTTTAAAGAGGGAGATCAATGAATTCCACTTATTTGATTTAAAAACACACAGGATTTGATTTTCTAAAACACAAGACTACAAAACCCTGGGAGGCCTAGAAAGGTTTCCAACAGTGGCAGTAGTCAAGTTATTTTAACATCTACCTTTGACTGCTGAAAATAAAAAGACCCGAGTTCTTCTAGATGGTAAGACACATTCTAAGTCCTTACCAAAGAAAACTGGAAAGTCTCATAAAGAAATAGAAAAGCTATCAGGCAATCTTAGGACACAGTTTCAGTACAGATAATTCCAGTTTAACTTACCTTTGCAATCAACATGAGAAAAAAGTAATAAAAAGGTGTTTCACAAAAGTCTACATATAATATCTTATCACTCGTTATTTCTGGGTGATAGCGTTAAAGATGTCTTTATTGCCGAAACCGGTTTGGCTCAGTGGATAGAGCATCGGTCTGCGGACTGAAAGGTCCCAGGTTCGATTCCGGTCAAGGGCATGTACCTTGGTTGCGGGCACATGCCAAGTAGGGGGTGTGCAAGAGGCAACTGGTCGATGTCTCTCTCTCGTCGACGTTTCTAGCTCTCTCTCTCTTCCTCTCTGTGAAAAATCAATAAAATATATTTTTTTTAAAAAAGAAAAAAAAAAGATGTCTTTATTTTCTTTTTCTTTAATATATGTCTGAAGTTTTCTAAGGTAAGTATGCACTATTATTCTTAAGGAGAATAAAAGATACTGTAAAAACAGATTTAACATATAAATAATAAATTGAGTCAAACTAAGAGGAAATACTCTTTCCTATGTGTAAAGAAAGAAAAATGCAGATACCTGTAATACTTGCAACAATAAAGAGAAATTTTTTAAAGATACAGTAAGCAAAAAAAAAAAAAAAAAAAGCATCAAAACTTTACACTGATTGAGCAAACATTCAAACGAGAAACTGAATATCCTTGGGTCATGTCTGACGCGGAGAAAGTCTTACCTTTACAGTAATCATTGGGATCTTCCTGCTCATCATCATCAGACCCCAGGATCTCCTCTTCCTGCTCGGGTGGATCACTCTCAGAGTGGGGAGCAGAGCCTCGGTGCTGAGTTTCAGATCTAAGAAATAATACAAACATGTTCAATCTAAATGGACAGAAGGAAATGGGACTTAAAGAAAATAACATTATCAAAATGTCCTTCCCCTACTTAACAGATAATATAAACAGAATATTATCTAATGGCAGCTTAGGAAAATATTAGCTATCGTTTTACATCGGGTTAGTAAATTACCCCTTTTTAGAAAAGTCAGTACATGATTAAATAAATCTGGAAAATATACAGAGCGGGGCAAGAGTAAGTTTACAGTCGTGAGAACCAGAACACAAGAGTTTATTCTTGTATTATTATTTATAAATTACTGTATTTTCCATAGAAACAACTATAAACCTACTTTTGCCACACCCTGTATATAATAAAGGAAAAGTACTTGAATCATAATATCCAAACATAATTGCTGATAAAAACTATTAGATTTTCTCTCAGGTACTTTGCTCTATTTTTTTAGTAACTATTTTGTTTTAATCCTCACCCAAGGATATATTTGAGAGAGAGAAAGGGAGAGAGGTTGGGAGGGAGAGGAGGCAGGGAAAGGGGAAGGGGGAGGGAGAGAGAGAGAAAAAAAGAGAAAGAGAAATATTGACTGGTTGGTTGCCTTCCACACGCACCCCAACTGGAGCTCAACCCACAGGCACCAGAAATGGTGCACGAGATGACACTCCAATCAACCGAGCCACTGGGCCAGGGATATTTTGCTGTATTTTTAGGGGGGAAATGTGCCCAGTACATAGAGCGGCAACCCATGAACCAAGAAGTTACAGGCTGATTCTGGTCAGGACACATGCCCAAGTTGTTTATAGGAGGCAATCAATATTTCTGTCACTGATGTTTCTATCACTCTATTCCTCTCCCTAAAATGAATTAAAACATATTTTAAAAGTATACTTGTAATTATATACTATCTGAAAACTTTGTATTCTCCTTTTCCTACTACCTTGTAACTTTTCCCTTCATTTCTATGCAATCTCTTTAATCTATTTCCCTTAGAAGTATCACCACTTAATTTGCACATTCTGTTCGACTGCACATTTAACTTGTTTCTAATTTTTCACTACTAAAAATAGAGCTGTGGAATATTTTTGGATAACCTTTATTCTGTACTTAGAATTCCCTAATATCAAATTATTAGATAAGGAAAGAAATATTCTCCTTAGTTATAAAAATAATATATTAAATGTAGAAAAATAGGAAATTATTTTGTTTTATAACAAATCTGCTCTGAACAAATGAAGATTTTGGACTATTGCCTTTCAATCTGTGGCCATGAATGATTTATAGGATTATGTAGTATGACTTTTCTAAAAGGGCTGAATTATATCTACAGCCACATATGGGCTTTTGGTACTTAAATATTACCAAGTTCAGAAAACTTAGCTTATTTGATGGGCAAAAATATCTCATTTTGTAATACCTTAAAAATTTTTATTCATTCCTTTCTCCACATGCCATCAATTAGTTATATTGAAATTTTTGTGTGCTAAGAAGTTTAGGAGACAGAAAGATTTGAATTTACATTCAGGCTTTAACACATACTAGCTCCCTGCTTTATAAAAAGGTTTACGCAAAAGAAGCAGAGTAGAAAATATTTCTTTTTAGTAGTTGTAGTTCCCATTCCTCAGTATTTTATTTATTTTTTCATCAACCTGTTTGATCTGACTGTTTTTCCAAAAGATTTAATAAAAACAGAAAACAAAGAGCAATAATCAAAGCAAAACCTCTTAAGAGTTATTGAAACTTTAGAAATACCTCAGAGCAAGCATGACTAATGATTCAGATTTAGATATTTGGTGACCATTCCAATCTACCTCAATTTTTGTTCCTTTTTTTTTTTTTGTCTCCCAGGAATTAGAAAAGTAGCTACAAAACTGCATGATTCAGCTCTACCTGACATTGGTCAGTGATTAGACATGAGCTATACACTGGAGAATCTTGGGTTCAATTCCTGGTCAAGGGCATGTAGGGGAGGCAACCAATCCATGTGTCTCTCTGGAAAAAAAGCGATTGAACATCGACCTATGAACCAGGAGGTCACGGTTCCATTCCCTGTCAGGGCACATACCCAGATTGTGGGCTCGAACCCCAGTGTGGGGCATGCAGAAGGCATCCAACCAATGATTCTCTCTCATCATTGATATTTCTCTCTCCCTCTCTGAAATTAATAAAAATATATTTAAAAACAAAACAAAACAAAACATATCCTGGGGTAAGGCTTAAAATAAACAAGTAAACAAACAAGTAAACAGACAAAAACAAAAAACAGAAAACCAACACACACTCTGCTTGATTCAAGTGTTGTTCACTCTTAGTGAAAACATGTCTTTGGAAAATTTACTTAGTAAGGAACTACTACCACTTTCCTAAATAAAAATAGGGAGTCTGAATGAACATCCCCAAATTTAAGACTAAAACAGATTTCTAAAACAGATTCTCTGATTTCAAATTTGTTGCCTTTTAGAATTAAAATTAAAATTTGATTGTTAAGAATAATTACAATTTTGAAAAGCAGTAAAATATAGTGAAAACCAGATATGAAAATGTTGGAATATTAGAATTTTACAAGTATGATGAGAGTAATGTTAAAAAATTATTTTTTTTAAGATTTGAAACAAAAAGAATTTGACCTGTTTTGTTGGTTTTTAGCTATAAAAGAGAACTCTTAAATATCAGACTCAGTTAAATGGTTCAAAACTGAATTATAAATTTCAAGTTGTAGTGTGAAATGCTATTAAATCTCCTCCCTGCCATGAATTAGTACAAAAGAAAATCTTCTTTATTCTAAAGATAAAACAGATTACCTAAAGGAGAAAGGAGGCATCATACTTTTAAAATTTCATTAAAAACATAGTTAATGTATATTTAAGTGTAAATTTTTAGTCTTTCATTTGCACAGCCCATATTTACCAGTAACTTCTGAAGACTGAGTGCAGGGGAGGTAAATTTATTAAGATCTCTTATTTTACTCATCTCTTACTGCCAGTTTGGGTATAAATTGCTGTTGTCTTCTAGCTTTCTCTAGTACTGTTGACAAATCCAACCAAATGCCTTCTGATTTCCCAGTCTCGAATAAAAGGTTTTTTTTTGTTTTTTTTTTAAGGATCTTCTCTTTAATCCTTATTTTCTGAAATTTTCTGAATGGCTTTTTATTAAAAATCCATCTTGTTAAGTGTGTCTTTTTACTTGCAAACTAAAGATTCATTCAATTCTGATAGAAATTGCTTGTATTTCATGAAAATTTAATTTTCTTCATTTCATCTACTCTCTCTGGAATTACTCTCTCAGGTACTGGACCTGAACCCTCTTGTCCTACTTCATCAATTTCTTATGTTTTCTCTTATTTCTATCTCTTTAGGATGTTTATCTTTGGTTTACTTTCTAGACTGATCTTCCTAACTCATGTTGACTTTTAAATTTCTACCAATTTTTAATTTCCCACAATTATTTTTGTTCTTGAATATTACTTTTTATGAGATTCCTGAAGTGTTCCAGTGATGTACCATCTTCTTTTATCTTAAGGATATAATTTAGTTTTAAGTTTCTTTCTCTGCTTTTTTTTTTTTTTTTTTAAATATATTTTTATTGATTTTGTACAGAGAGGAAGGGAGAGAGATAGAGAGTTAGAAACATCGATGAGAGAGAGTCATCAATCAGCTGCCTCTTGCACACCCCTACTGGGGATATGCCCACAACCGAGGTACATGCCCTTGACTGGAATCGAACCCGGGACTCTTCAGTCCCCAAGCCGATGCTCTATCCATTGAGCCAAACCGGTCTCGGCTCTGCTTTGTTTTGTTTTAGCTTTTTCAAACTGCTCATTTTAACTAATGCTACATTAAGAACATCAAACAACTAAAAAAAGGCCTTTGTCAAAAAAAGACAAAAAAAAAAATTTAGAGGAGAGACAGTTAGTATTAGACAATGAGAGTGATAAGATGATGACATCATTAAAGCACTGCAACTTTGATGGGTGTTAAAAGTAGCATAAAAAAGAAAATCAATTTTGGTTTTGGCTACAGAAAAAAATTTCAACTTATTAACATTAGGCACTAAAAACTTCTTCCTTGAACCAAAACAGGAGTTCTAAAATATTTTCAGTCTGCCGAAATCGGTTTGGCTCAATGGACAGAGTGTTGGCTTGGGGACTGAAGGGTCCCGGGTTCGATTCCGGTCAGGGGCATGTACCTTGGTTGAGGGCACATCCCCAGTAGGGGGTGTGCAAGAGGCATGTACCTTGGTTGAGGGCACATCCCCAGTAGGGGGTGTGCAAGAGGCAGCTGATTGATGACTCTCTCATCGATGTTTCTAACTCTCTATCTCTCTCCCTTCCTCTCTGTACAAAATCAATAAAATATATATTAAAAAAATAAAAAATAAAATAAATAAAATATTTTCAGTCTGTTCCTTTAAACTCTTCATACTTATTTCATGTCTAAAGTATATGTTCTCCATATTCAGAAGAAAAAAATGCCAGCACCTTAAAGCTATCAAAGTATGTAAAATTTAACTCAGTACTATCTACAAAACCTACATATATAAAAGGTTAATATGCTAATTGTCCATTCGACTGGTTGCTATGATGCACACTGACCATCAGGAGGCAGATGCTTAATGCAGGTGCTGCCTTGACACACACTGGCCATTAACAAAGAAACAGCACCACATACCTGGTGCTGACAAAGCAACACTCGGCTTCCCCCAAGTGGGACACAGGACCCACCACCACCCTGGAGCAACAACCACCAAATCGCAGCCAGTGCTGCCAAGACCCCATAGTGCAAAATCCGGCCCGAAGCTCAGCCCAGAAACTGTTAACTGTGGGCGCCAGATAATGACATCACGTAGCAATCCCAGCCTCCTCTCCCTAGTGACTAAGCCTCCTTGGAGTTTCTTCAGCCCAGGAACACAACTTGCTTTATAGCCTGGTACAAATATTTTACCATGTCTTATTTCATTTGATCCTCACTGAAGTCCTGGAGTAGGTACATAGGAGATTCGGTAGAATC